TTGGGGCTGCCCCAAGCCCCACTCTCAGCCCAGGGAGACAGGAGGCGCAGCAGCAGTGCTGAGCACCAAGCAGCTTTCACCTTGGCCAGGAGGAGCTGAGATGCCCACAGGATACCCAGGAAGGGGCAGCAAGTTGTGTGGCTGCCAGCCCTGGCACGATCTGGTGCTATAAGATAGGGACAAGAACACAGCTGCCAGCTCCACACCTCGCTGTCTGTGTGCATCCACATCAGTATGTGTGGCAACGGCATGGATTCCTCAGCAAACCGATGCACAACCCGCAGGCCTGACTGCACGTGTGTGCTTTGTAGGAATAAGGATGGAAGGCAAAGATCTGGCAGCAGCTCCAGCAGTCACCCCCCATGGCAGTGCTCTAAGTGGTAGGTTAGACTGAACAGATGCAAAGAACCAATCATGGTTTGAAAAGATCATACAAACTTGACCCAAAAAACTTGTTTCAGTGCTTTATCTCAACATCTCACTCAATGGCTTCATTCCAACAGTAGAAATTAGGATTTCTGGGTGTGCACAGGAACTTTGTGGTCTTTACCTGCAGCAAAATGAAAAGAATAAAGAGAATCACCCTACAGGGAAAAAAAAAAACCCAAATGAGTTGAATTCACCTGGGCTGCATTCAGGTCCAGGAAGCACCCTGGGTGCTCTTCTGGTTTAAGCCTTAAGCCAAAGCTTTAAGAAGGGGGTTCATTTGGAAGCTGTGCAAATACTTACAGAGCTGTTTCACTTGATCTTTTGAAGCACTGAAAATAAAGAAGCAACATCATTATCATTTGTATTTTCTGACCATAGAGATATTTTGACTAATACATTGCAATGCCTTCCACCTTAAAATATCTCCTATTTGATTATCTACAGCTAATTCTAGAGCAGGAGGTAGTATGTAGCAGTCCTCTAACAGTGGAAAGCAACCCTACAAAGTAGCATGGCAAAGGAAGAAGAAAACAGGGCATTGCAGCAGGACAATACTGGTTTTTCCTAGGAAACTAGAGCTTTCCATACCTTAAAAATTTTATCTTTTCGAGCCACAATTCCAAAAAGTATCGTGAGTGAAACCACCACAGCAGCAGCAATAACAGCCTCCGTGGGGAAGATGGGCTTTTTGTCTGTCAGGAGCAAGAGGAGGTTGAATATGTGATTGATCAGTAGAGTCACATAAACCAGGACGTTTCATACAACTGCAGAAAGACGTGTCTCCTCCTGTGTCTGTCACTGCTGATTTGAAGTGTTGCTCTCTGCTGTCTGCAGCCTGACTATGTGCATTAGTCCCTTGGGAAGAAGGGAGCCAAGCCTGTGTTTTAGTAACTGAAGGAAGAACGGAAATGTTGGTCCCTGAAGAAGAAGGAGGTCCCCAAGGCATTCTTACACACGGAAATACGGGTGTCCAGAAGTGCCGCTGACACAACTGGCATTGCTTTCCTGCCTGTTGTGAGAGTGCAGAAGTGAGAGGGGCCTGGACAGTGAGTGGACAACAGACACCTGAGACTGGAGCATCCAGCCCCAGCAAGGCTTCCACCTCCCCGTTGTCCACAGGGCTACCGTCACTTCTGGAGGACAGCTCTCACCTTAAGCAGCTCTTTTGGCATGACAGAACACAATGGTCAGGGTAAGATGTTTCAAGTAAGACCTAAGGTACTTTTAAACCATGCATGAATGTGCCCTGTCAGTGTGGGAAGTGAGAGTGGGATGAGCCTGCCTCCGGTCATGCTTGCCACACGCCTTGGAATAACAGGTAGGGCAGGAAAGGCCCTTCCTGGTGCTGTGGTCCCAGGTACAGGTGCAAAGAGAGCTCCTTCCTGTTGCTGTGCCCTCAAAAGTCTACTGCTTGCCACATTCCACTTAGGTTTCATAGATTGCTTTCATTATAAAATAGAATGGAGAGTTACTTGTAAAGCTTATTGTTTGGCAGCAGCCGTGTTACCTTCAACTATCAGGTGGAAATCCTTTCTCCCCTCTCCTGAGAGAGAGCTCACCACGCAGGTGTAGGTCCCATTGTCAGACATCTCCACTGTTTGGATGGAGAGCTGAAAGACCTCGCTGGTCTGGTAGAGCTGGTGACGGTCCTGCTGCAGGGTCAGGGTGGTGTTGTCCTTGTACCAAGCTGCATGGGCCTGAGGGTTGGATTTGGCGTTGCAGGTCAGAGTAACATCTTTGTCTTCTTCAATGTTGAGGGTCTCTTCTCCAGACAGTTGGGGAGGAACTGCTCACGGTAGTGCAGTGCAACAGGTCATTAATAAAGCTGCTCACCGTGTAACACAACAGGAGTGCCCTTTACACATCCCGGGGACACCTTGCTTAGTGGTATAACACAGCACGGTAGTGCAGCCTTTCCTGATCCCCAGGAATCAGCAGGTCAGCCTCATAACTCCTTTGCCCTGACTTGTATCCTTGGGAAGGTATCTAGGTGGAGGCAGGGACACAGGTGGAGGCAGGGACATATCCAGGACATCTTCTTACTTAAGGGCCCACCCACTCCCTATAAAAGAGGTGTTAGATCAGGTCATAAGCACCACGGTGGAAAGGGAGTGTCTTATCACCTGAGCTATCTCCTCCTAGGTGCATTTTTTCTTGGTGAAGACAGCGTACAAGGGTGCAAAACATCCGCCTTCACCTAGTGCCCAGACACCGAGCTGCTCGGCCCATGACTTCCTCCCACCCCTGCCGCTCTGCACAGGTACCAACCACTGCAACTCACACTGGACATCCAGCATCACAGACACCTGCACAGACTCGTCCCGTGCCAGCCTGCACGTGAAGGTGACTCCATTGTCGGACTCAGTGACTGGGGATACGCAGATGTTGCTGATGTTCACTTTATTCTCATCATTCAGATCCACTTGCTCATCATCTCGGTACCAGAGCAGCTCCTCGGCCTCGCTGTTGTTCTCTACTAGGCAGGAGAGGGAGACGGCAGGGCCAGGCGATGTAAGCAGGGAGAAGTCAGCATTGTAGTTATTTACTGACAGTTCCACACCTGCAGAAGAAGGAGAATGAGGGCACGGAGTGTCCTAAACTGTACCCTTCCCACAGAAGCTGCCCTGCGAGTTTCTCCCTCAAGGAGGGACTGGGAGTTTCAGCCCCAGGTTATCAGCAATTTTTGGGTGGGACTTTAGTTTTGGAGACAAGTCTCATCTCAAAAGCTCCCTTCACACTTGAAGTCAGGCCTTTGCAAATGACTGTGAGAATGCCAAAACCTGACCTGTAGTAACAAAACATTTCAAACCCAGCAGTGACCATGTAACACACAGCAAAAGATCATCCCCATCCTGCCACTCGTGCTCACCTTCTTGCTGCAAATCACCATTGCAGCATACCTGTTTGTGCTTACAATTTGATGCACTGGTTGGTTTTTGGCTGGAGGTGAATGGGCTTGAGAGTATAAATGGGTTAATCAGCCCCTTGGCTGTATTCCAGCCAATCTTGAGTCTGGCCATTGAGGAGTTGGAGTTTGTCTAATGGTCAAACCTCAGGACATGCTAAATAAAGAACCAGTATGGGGAAGAAATGTTTCTAATAGGCTGAAACTTGCTACTGTAGCCTGGGTCATAGATTAGGGAACAAAAAATACAGCTCATGATATAAGGGCACTATAGTCCTGTGAATATAAAAAAGCCTGAAGCTCCCTGTCCCTTCCCTGGTGTTCCCAGCTGGCCAGAGCTACCACACTTACCACTGCTTAGAGCAGGTTTAGAAACTGTCCTCCTCATCCCTGTGCAGCTGCTGCAATGCAAAACGCTGAGGCTTCCCCATTCCCTTCTCTGCTACTCTCAAAAGCAGAGACAAGTTTCCAGGCAGTCCTCTGGGGATGATCTCCAGCACATCTGCAAGCTGGGCTGCTGGTGTGACCCACCACCCTGAGCACTGCCCAACCATGGGCAGCTTCCCGTGATGAGGCTTGGACAAAACCAGGAGGGATTTTTTTCCATTGCTTACCTGTGGCTATGCACACCAAAAAGCAAACAGCAAGGAGAAGAATCTCATAGGGGACTGCGAGGCTGCTCCTCTGCACCATCTCAGAGGGGCGTCTGTTGGAGAGAGGTTAATTCCTTGCTGCCATCAGCCACCCTGGGGAGAGCTCTCCCAGATGGGGACCAGGGAATAAACTAAGTTGATTTTTTGCATGGCCTTTTCCAGCTCAGAGCAGAATCAAGGGGGTTTTACATCTCTGATGTCTGTTGGGTGAGTTCATTGCTTCCAGTCACCTGTCTACCAAGGGGAACCCATCTCCAGTCATGTAGCATTGGACTTACCTTGGGAAGAGTCTCTGGAGAAGCTGCTTCTGCCAAGAAATGTGCAGCTCTTTCCCCTCCTTATTTATAAGGTCTCAATTTTAGTATTTTATGGTAGCTTAGTAAGAAGCAAGTCCATAAAATGGGTTCAAGGCCTCGTTCAATCCGTGGGTTTCTGAGCTCTCAGAACACTGAAGAAAAGTATTTGCTGGGCCCTGATGGGTGTTTTATGAGACTTGCCAAGGCAATGAGTAACTAATGAGAGTTTCTGCATTGGCTGTAAAGACCTTCAGCCAAAAATAATACCTTTTCCCTCTCAGCTTTCTGGGTTTTCGTGACATATTTCAAGACATAGGGAGTTCATCCTGGATTCTCCTAGAGCAGGAGCAGACTGATTTGCCCCTCTCTGATTTGCCCTGAAGCTTTGTTGTCGTGTCCTGCTTTACCTGAAGATGAGAAAATGCACTGATTCAGACTTTGAACTGAAGCTACTGCCGCCTTGTCTGTTGGCAGAGGAGAGAGCAGAGCCACTGTTGTGATCACTGGTGTGTGCCCCAGGGTGCTCCTGTGGTTAGCTCAGCCCTGGGCACCCCCAACATAGAGTGAGGGTCACCCCACTACTTGGACAAGTGTGAGTCTGTGGAGGGCACAACTGAAGCGCTCTGCTACAGGGAAAACCAGTGTCTGAAATTGCCTGCTCATACTTCAGCCGGATGACAGT